AAGGCCTCTGCAAGCTGGTGTTCTTCCTCGCTCCACCACACTAGCAACCTGGACTCCAGCGACCTGTGCAATTAGAATGGTATCACGGGCGCTCAAAAACTTGTCCACGGTGTTAGCATCTAGACAAACAATGAAAACGGCGGGCAGTGTCAGAGTGAACTGCGAGAGGCTTTCCCCGACTCCCGCCTAGGCGGAGGGGAGGGAGGAGTGCAGAGCCCGCCAGCTCCCCTAAAACGGTCCTAAATGACCCTAAAGAAGGCTGGGGCAGATGCATCTCTCCCGTCTCTACTGGTTTAGTCTAAGCCATTTCATATAAAACCCACGAAGCAAAGGAAGCAGGCTAAGAAAAGATTTAAACCGCAATAATGAAGAGATTTCCTAGAATAAAATACAGATTAGAGAACAAAATCAGAAAAACCCAAACTTCACTAAGTTTACATTCCCCTGCGCTGGGTTTAAGGGTGGAACCTGCCTGCTTGGAGCAGGAAAAGAAACCCGCAGCCCAGACAGAGACAGTCGACCAAACCAAAGGACTATGCAGATTTGGCAATGGAGTGAGGATTGCTGTATATTTCTGGGCTAACCAAGTAGCACCTCAACTGATCTAGAATCATTTAATGAATCATACCTGTATTTCCCCATAAGAAAAGAAAAATTGTTGTTTATAGGGAACCAAAGTCAATAGAGCCAAGTTCACCTCATCAGAAGGGGCCTCCTAGAGAGTGGAACTATTCTAAACAAAGCTGTGTTTCAGCAACAAACACAACTTTCTTTTTAAACCCTGTAGCTGAACAGGGGCTGTGGCTCAGGTAGAGCAGTGACTTAGTCTGTTTCAGTCCTCAGCAGGGCAAAAATAAACAAACCCTGTCTGCCCACCAGAAACTGATACTCTTGCGGGGAGGAAAACAATTGACCTAACTGGTTATCAGGTGCATTCTTATCCAATAGAGTTGTATCTATCTGTGATGTTTTGCTGCAACATAGGAAAGGAGCACTGAATTTGGAGTCCCAGACCTTTCCCTAAGGGCTAGCTGTATCACTTGCCCCTGGGCAGCCTCTGTCAATAAAACACAGGCAGAGGTGAGGGAGATCTCTACTCAACTCCAGGGAATTTGGGAGAAGAGCCCTTCCTGCCACCCCCAAGCTTTCTATCTATATGGAGTGGGGAAGGGTCAGTATGAAGACCCCTAGAAAGGAAGAAGGCTTCAAGTCAGCAGACCTCCCCCTGCCCTGGTCTGCTCCTAGCTGCCCACTGCCTGGGATCCGCTGCAGAGCCAGTACACTCACCAAACTGCAAGTGAGATTGCTCATAATTGTACTGAGTGTGCATAAAGTGAGTACCATTGTGACAACCTGGACTATAAAAGGAATATTTTTAAGTCCCTTATCATTTAACCAGTTGAATTGGTAGAAGGTAAAACTATACCAAGATTTCTTAAATTAGTATCTGCAACATTCCTGAAGTCTGAGGCATCCTTTAGCTATCAAAGGATCCCCTGATTCTGCGAGAGCCAATAGTTATTCGGCCTCCCATTGATTTTAAGGTTTGGTGCCTTTAGTGCCTTCAGTCTTTGAGTCTTAAAAAACTTTTTAGGCCAGTTCTTAAAGCAAGTACCCACAGGGACCTAGATACATAGAATTCCCAGGTGCAGAAAATCAGAGCAAGTGCGTGGATGAGTGACCATAATACTGACTTCATAAACATTTCCCAAACCCACTGCCTACCTACACCGGGAAGAGACTGTCTCCTCCTCTCTCCACTCTTCTTCCCTGAGCCTGTCTTCTTCAGACAACTCACTCAAGCTCACCCCCACTCCCACTTGTGCCAGCTGGAGTTCATTGTGTCAGCTGAGCTCCTTATGGCCACCACCATCCTCCCAAACCAGTTTCTACTTCCTTTAAGTAATTATTTTCCGACACTTTGAGCTTCGATTTAGTGAGCACATATTTACTTCCATATTTAGTCACATAAAAAATTATTCCAGGAAAATGACAAAAGAGGTTGAGGTTGGAAAACTAGCAGAAAATAAATGGGGATCTGTCCCCCCACCAAATGTTCACTACTCAGAAATTCTTAGAAAGTAGGAACAACCACCACTCCCCCTGCCCCAACCCAATCAAAACATCCCTTCCGGAAAAGAGCGACTTGTTTCTTTTTTCTCTTGCAAATGAGTGGTAAACTGAGTTCGGTTTGGTGGTGTTTTCTTAGCTGACTCCCGGCTACAATCGGGCCATTTTCGGACACATTCCCATGTAGGTACCAGGGGTGCTCTGGAGGAAGCTGTCGACGCCTGTTCAGCTAATTTAGGTTTTCTTTGTCTAATTACTGTGGAGCTTGGGGAAAAGGAGCCGGGCTCAGGGCAGTAAACTGACACTCGGGCTCTGTGTGTGGTATCCAGGCAGGGTTTGATGGAAAAAGCCTGCTTCCACTCAACTTCAGGTCACTGTCTGGGGCCAGCCCCCTCCCCCTCGCACCCGCCCTCTCCTCTGTTCCTCAGACCCACCAGCACTCTCCACCAAGGGCAGTCCCCAGGCACTAGGGGTACTGGGAGCTGGCTCAGCTCCCAGGGCTAGCCTCCTCTCTGGTCCGCAAGGTTCTTTGTTTGGTCTTTATCAGGGTCCCGGAATTATCTCCTTTTCTTTATCCTCCCACACTCCCAGGATCTCCAGCACACACAGCCTTGCACCTTGGTCCAAGTTGAAGTAGCAGGGTACACTGCTGCACCTCCCATTTTTTCCCTTGGTGGGCATCGCCTTCCCTCTGGGCCTCACCACCAGCCCCTGTGTGGCCAGGCCTGCTCCAGCCTTCTGCCCTCCCTCTTGCAGCCCCTGTCCGGGGTCAGACTACATTTCCCCGCACGTGTAATCCAATAACTAACTGTCGGGTCTCATTGGAATGATTTCTCCCGAGGGCCATCTCTCTCAGAGCCGATTCTTACCGGGAGGAATAAGTCAGAATTGGGGGGAGTGTTCTCGGATGAAGTGACGGGCTTGCCAGGGCACGGTGGGGAGAGGGTTTACTGGACAACGCAAGACTGAGGCTGCAAACCCACTGGCTGCGAGGTCGTTCAGTGCAGATGATAAATACACTATCTCCTCACCTCTGGGTCGGAGGCCTGGCGTTTGGCTTTTCTCTCTTTCTTTGCAAAGCATGAGGTGGAAATGACAAGGTAGTGGGAGAAAATGCAAACGTGAGTCCATTCGACCCGTTTCCTGAGTCTCTAAATCTTGGCCCGGGTTTCTCCATCCAAACCCCCGGGCTCAAAGTTTCGAGAATGTCCATGATTGATCTGGGGCCACAACTCAGGAATGCCCTTAGGCTCTACCCTCTACTATCAACTGTCAGCAGCCTGCAGGTCCTGCCAGAGAGAGAGAGAGGGTTGGCACGTTACCTTGGGGCGTCTGGCACCCTGGCGTGTGGCTGAGGGCGGCACTGTCTAAATGAAGTTGACAGATGATGTCAGTTCGGGCACTGGGGACGGTGGCTAAGGAGACTCCGCTGCACATGGCACCGCCGCCCCAAGACTCAGCCCTGGCAGGGCCCGGCAGAAATGGGGGAGGGGCAGGGGTGGGCCCACTCCCGGGGGGGCGGCAGGTTTCTGTGACAGGAAGCTGGGACTGTTGGATAGGGCCGAGAACGACTTGCAGAGGTGGCCAAGTTCTGCCAGCGGGGGAAGTCCTCCTACCAGCAGAATGCCGGCGGCTCTGTAGTCCTTCGTTTCGCAGAGGGTAGACAGGGAAAGGGAAAGGGCTCAGGGAGGAATTAGAAGAGCGAGTGGGACCCCGAGAACCAGGGAGACGCTAAGAGCGGGAGCCCGCCAGGTCTGGAGGGGGAGGAGTGACGCGGGCCCGGTGCCCTCCCTGCGGCGGGCGGCGCGGAGCAAGGAGGGGGGCAGGGCGGGGTG